TATTTGAAATATTATGTCGTTAAATCTTTAAAGTATATACTTTCTAACATACAGAAGTTTAATCTCTTAGTAACTTCTGGTTATTCATAATTACTTATGGTTAGGAAAATTTTGTAGAAATAGAATTTTAATTACAAATATAATATTACATAATATCTTTTATTTAGCATTTATAGCTCTTTTTATTTAACATTTATATTTTTGCAATGTATGCATACATATTGCATATGCAACCTTGAGTGTAATTACAATCGTAAAAGAGATTAAAAGATAAAAATGAAAAAAATGCTATAAAAGAAAACAAAGTAAACAGTTAACCTAAATTAACATTAATCGCCTCCTAAAAATTTGATAATGTTGAGATTGTGTGCGTATAAAGATGCGAGATCAAATTGTTTGTTTCGTTGCAATGACGAATAGAAGTCGAGCTTATGCCCTTAGCGACAGTTGCATATCACGTAAAATTTTGTGCAAATAAATTTGGATTCTTTTTCATGTTTTACATCTTTTTTATGCTAATTTTAAGTGTGTACAAATTTTACTTTGAAAAAAAAGAAGTAAATTCTTTTTTATCGTGATAATATACAATAGAAATCATGAACAAAATAGATTAAAAGCAAATTTTGTCTATCTTCTATCGCTTGGACAACTTGGAATGAAACCTACTATTTTCGTAAGGACAATTATATTTTATTTATTATAGTGATTAAAATGCCTTTAGCTACTATATATTATATAAATCAACTTTAATTGCTCGTTTAAAATAAGCCTTGATATTAACTATATTGTTTTACAATCACACGAGCCAAAAATTCTTACAATTATATTTTGTAATGTATTATATATCATCAGAAGATTATGAAAATAAGAAGTGTTTCTATACACTTTATTCCAATTATTATTTACTCAAATGCCGTATAAATATAAATACTTATGCTTTCTTATTTTCAAATTTTTGCAAAATTACAATGAATGCACATATGGTATTCTCCCGTGATAGCTAGAAGTAAAACTGCGTAAAATTATTCATTGAAAATGCTATTACAGCTTTTTATTATTAATTATTATTAATTATACCCACAAGTTTCGCACACTACCATGCAGTGTTGACTCGCATTGTTTCTTTATTTCAATTTAATATCGCTTTTTATTTTAGTGAAACGCAAGTACCGTGAAAAAATTTTGTAAACAGAAACATTAGATATACGAAGTGTGTTCTTGTAAATGTTTATATTTGATCTATCTTTTTAAAACTGATTTCTATATTTATATAAATTATCTTTGTATTAGTCTGTCGTGTCAAAAGGAGCGTGATACAAATCAATTAACAGAATCCGATATAATAAATGTATACATTTAATGATTTTTAAAAATATAAAAATGTAAAGAAGAGACATAAGAAATATGTAATAAAATATAAAAATTAAAGATATAAAAAAATTATTTATGTAAGTTATAATGTAAGTTATGAATTGACCTTTAGATTCAGAGTGGAATCGTCTCGTAAAATAAAGCCGGTTTCGTGTGAGCCCACATCCACCAATATAATTAACCCGATTTGTGAAATACCTGAATTTAAGACAATGCTTTCTTCCTTAAGAAAACAGATATACTTCTAACTTTTAATAAGATATGAAAATATGATTATCTCGTTTATTAGTTTAAATTGTAAAAAATTTAATGTTATATTAACTAACAATAATTTAACTTTATATGAGTATAATTTATTAACAATTTAATACAAAATATTTTACAATTATTTAATTGTATAATATTATACAGTTATATAATATTTTTTTAATAAATCAATTTAGGTATAAAACGTGAGGTATAAATAATTTAAGAAGTATAATTAAGAAAACGAAGTATATTAAGGACATAAATAAAAAAATCTTAATATTTTTTTTAATTTTGGATTTTTAAAACTTGAACTAGAATCAAAGTTGATCTATTAGTAAATTGTTATTTAAGTTTAAAACACCGAATATTACATATAAAATATACATATATATGAAAATAAAAGTATAAAAAAAAATAAATTCAATTTTTATCGTAATTTTTATCAGATATTATTATTATACGCACTAATGCCAACGTACTGTACTCTATAAATTTAATTTACATTTAATGATAAAAAGTATCCCCTCTGAAATTTTTTGCATTCACTTCATGTTGACTTAATATTCTAAAAGTAAACACTATTAGTTTGATGACAAATTACTTGAGTAAATAAAGCCGACAAGACGGATATTAAGGAATTTTCGATGACGTCTTTCAATAGCTTTAACATCACTTGTTTCTATTCAAGGATTTATCGAAAGCCCGCTTAAACCTACTGTAAATTTGAGTTACATGTATAAGCATCGATCTATAATCGATTTATTTAATTAATGAATTATTTATCAATTGTCGGCTTTAAATTTTTGAAAACAAATTAAATAAATTGATGTGAATATGAATCATGCAATAAATTCAATAAATTAATATAATTTAATTTATAAATTAAATATTATATAACATAGTGACACTTATATATTAATGTTTAATAAATTGTATCTATCACATAATGCGCGAAATGAAATTGTTGTATCAATGTTGAAACAAGTAACAATATTGATGCATACGATAAAGTTGTATGTATCAACATTTTTTTATTTGTTCCTTGTGCGAGACGATTTATCGTAGAAAAACTTTACCGCGGTAAAACACGCGTGTTTTGCTTAGCTTAACCTTGTTGTGTTCTTTCTCTGAAGGACAAGCTTAGTCGATCAAAGTCACATCATGTAATGGTTATAACGTCAGAATATTCTTACGTGTTCAAGAATCGGCGACGCAATAAGATACAATCAGTGTTCTCCAATAGGATTACTAATTGATAAAATTTCGAGAAACTGAAAGAGAAAACGAAAAACTTACAAAAAGGAAAGTATTTTCTGTTTTAAATGTTTGCAAAATACCCCATTTTAGATTAAATTTACATATCAAGAAAAATAGTTTTTAGGATTTTTTTATTAACAATTATGTAAAAATTATCTTAATTTTTGGTAAAGAAAAATATAAACATTATATAAAATTTTGATTTAATTTTTTTTATAATTAATACTTACAATAAATTTTAATATCTATTTATTTTATTTAAATTATTTAGATTTATTATTACTTATTATTTATTTTATATTTGACTGTAATATATTATAAATTCAATATTTTGTCTAATTTTAAATGATAAAACTGCGTATATATGTACAAAGTTATCACATAATACATAATGCATATATCGTACTGATACGGATAACTATTGTTTTCGAGTTGGAGGCTGTCGATCGATCGGTCAGTTCTCTTGTTATTTCTCGAAGTTTGACATTGACGTTCAAAGTAACCAATCATCAATATATATTTTATCAAAATACTGGAAAATATTGCTTGTATTATTCGTTCCCGGTACGTCTCAATGATATTAGGAAAGTCTGTTATCTTGTAAGTTTTGATAAATTATTAGACACAATCTACTCTTAATATTGTATTAAATAGCAATATATTACTATTATACGTAATATGACTATGATAAATCATAATTATATTATTTTAAATAAGAGATAGTAGTATTTTTTATTCATAATTAATAATACAATAATAATTTCTACCTAATATAAGGTGAAATATCGTAGTCAGTAATGCTAATATTGCTAATTACTTACATTTGTTATATGCTATGTGTGTAATGCATGTTAGATATCATAATTACTTATATGGTAAAGAGGGATTATATGATCTTGTGCAAAGAAAGATACTGCCAGTAAAATGTTCACTGTTAATTAAGGACTAAAGATTCATAAAAATGTTGTATAAAAATATAAAGATTTTACCAGAAAAAGCACACAGAAAGAGGAAAAAAGTAATTTTGTTAAAAATTATGAATAATTTAAAGACTGATATTTTTGGTATATGAATTGTATAAAGGTTCTAGTCTCTTAAAGCAATACTACGTTTTAAGCATTGACGACAAGTGTTTTACTGCATTGTTATCATATGTTGCAAATTAGAATGCCAAGAATATTCACTAAATTCTCATTTAGAAGCTTTATCTTTTTGACGGTTACTTTGTTTTTTAGAATAGCAATTTACATTACAAAATATTATATTTAATTAAACACTTTTTTGATATCTGAATAATTTTAAATATAGTTATAAGAAATATTAATTTTTGTGTCTCTATATTTTCGATATTCTGATTGATAAAACGTGACTTACATTGCTAATATGTTAATTGTAAAACTATTCGCAAATGCTAACGTGTTATAATGCTCGACATACAATTAGGTTGAGAATATTTTTGTAGATTGCACCTGTCGTTGTTAAGTCAACGTGGAAAATGTTTCCGCGGTTATGCTAGGCTGATTTACATGCTGAGATTTACGTAACATATTAACGAGGTATAACCTTGCCATAATTCACATAAGTCTGTGCACTTTTAAATATTTACCAATTTTTTCCAAATTTATTATCAGATCGATATTGAAGTACAGCAAATGTTCTGTAATCTTAAGATAATTCAGTTTCAATATCAATAATGAAAAATTAATTGTTATAGAGTGTCAATCTACACTAGCGTGCAGTGAATTCGTTACTTAATGAAGTTAACACCTTTCATACTTGATTAAAGAAAGTAAAGGATAAAATATAAAATCACCCTAGAATGATCTTTTTTTGATAACAATTTTAAAGAATACCTAAAACCAGATAATCTTATCGCAACGCAAACTGAGTGGGGTTATCAGTGATCAATATGTAATGTGTCCTAGAACATTTAATGTTAAATTCTCTTCGCTTTCATAGAGAATATTCGCGTATTCGAATATCATAGAATCATCAAAAGAAAGAAGTTAACGAAATGTTCTAAAAATCCTGAAATATATCATTTGACAAATTAAAAATTGCTTTATATGGAATATTATTTTAAAAAATATATTAAACGACATATATTCTTATCCATGTTTTAGATCTGGAGAAGACCATCCTGTGCAGCATAAAACGATCTAAAATCTTGATTTGTTGTGTTTAGATTTGCATGTATTTTATACAACAATATCACGTTCAATAAATCGAATTATAAATATTGGCGAATCTCTCGAAAACTACTTGAGATGCAGAATAGCAACTGAATCGATTCGCGTGCTTAAGAATCAACGGTGGATCTATTGTCAGTGTATATCTTCCAGGTGTTTCTAGCTAAACGATTCTAAAACGTCTATACAGAATACGATGAAAATGTCGCCGAACGAAGAAAGGGTATCACCGACGATATGTCCTAAAGCAGAGACGGATTGTAACATGACGCTGAAGAAGAATCGGTTGGCGAACGATCAATCGGCACAGAATCATAAAGCAACAATCGAGAAGAACGATGAGTCGATTGAGATTAAGTACGTACCGAGGATAAAATGGCTGGATTTTAGCGCGCAATTCTTCATACATGCCGGATTTCTTTACGGGCTGTATTTGGTGCTCACACAGGCAAAATTGCTTACTTCGCTATGGGGTAAGGCGAATTTTTTTAGTCTCTCTCTCTCTCTCTCTCTCTCTCTCTCTCTCTCTCTCTCTCTATATATATATATATGTGTGTGTATAAATATATTATGTATATGTATATGTATATATTTAATCTACTATCAATTGTGTCAATTTTTTATTTTAACATAAAAATATCAATGGTCTTTTTATTAAAGAAAAAAGGTATTATCTTTACATGTTGCTATGCAGCATTTTTAACTTTAATATATGGTACATATCTTTTTACAAATCTTCAATACATTTGAATTAATCGTTAATCAAATTTCGTGCTTTGAGATACCAAATATAGTTTCGTTATCGCTTATCAGATAAATGGAGGTAAACTTGTATAATCTCTGCGTACCCAGCGAATGCTTATTTGGTTTTGCAATTTAATTAAAGCTTTTGATTTTACAAATTAACCAATACTGTTTTTTTATCATATACAAAATAAATAATAACTAATATTACATTATTTATTACACTCCATGTTTAATTCTACGGTGTAATTAATCTTTATATTACTCTGTAACAGAAGTATACCTTGAATTAACTTTTACTCTTTACAATTCTATTTCAAAATTTAACTATAATAATTCTAGCACTTAATTGTATGAATCGATATTACAATTACCTTGGGTTTCCGTAAAACAATCCTTGAAATATGAGTATGTTGGAAGTAAAATTTGATTTACGATAGCGCAAGAATGTAGGTCGCACGGCAATTTCACGTCATTTGCGAGTTAATCACAATAATATCAGCATTGTAATTTTAATGCTGTAACGTGTGCTTGACTGCATCGAGAATTGGTTATCAATTTATCTTCTGTCTGCGAATCTGTCGTTTTTTAAACATATTTTACAATGTGTGTAATGTGGATAGATGAGAGCACGCAATCAATTCGAACGAAATTATGTCGCCGCGGTAATTTATAAATGTCTTAAGTGTTATCAAGTTTTTATCATACTTTTTTAATCGCGAAATGGTGTGTCGATAGTTGAAACAGGAAATAATTATGATTATTACTTCTTATTTTATAAATAATACAAACATAATAATGAAGTTTTTTAGCCTCTATTATTTATATTTTATCTGTATTCTTATAATTATATAATTTCTTGTCACCGTCTTACTTTCTTATAAGTCGAGATCGCTCGCCGATACAACCGCAAAAGCTGGTACTAAACATGATAGCAAGCATCATATGCGAGTATCGAGATATTTGCAATAAATTTATGTCATACATAGTAGAGTATAATTAATTATAATAGAAGTTGAATCACACACGCGACATTGGCCGTGAAAAATAAATGGCAAGATAAAAACACGCACGGCTATGGCTATGAAAGCACTTATAAGGAAAGCAGCTGATAATGAAACGGGTTACGCAAATGCACATGTTTGCATTCGATTGATGTTTAAAGCCAACACTTATATCGAATTTACTGGCGTTGGATCTCGTAAAACGGAAGAATATGCAGCGATAAGGATACCATGTCTCGTATTTCTGCAATGTGTATTTGTGGTTATATTGCTTTGCGATATGTCGAATATAACATCTCTTACATTTAAGAAACACAATAAAAAAGGAAACAGCTGTTACAAAGTAATTAATTAATTTCTACAAATTTATATAATTTATAATTTATTTTATTTTGCTTAAATTTTGGAAATTATATAATATCTATTTTTATAAGAGAGAGACCAAGAATTAATTATTAAAGTCGAGAAAACGTAGATACATGAGTATTTGAAATAAAAATAGACTTAAATAAATTAAAAGGTAGCAAATATTAAAAATTAAAAATATAGAAAATAGAATTAATAATTATTTTACAAAAAATTATTATTTACAAAGAATTTCTTTTTTTAATAAAAATAAGTGATATCGTAAAATCTAATGTAACTCTAATATAAATCTAACGCGTAGTAAAATATTCTAATGTTGCTGCTTCTCTTTAACCAAATGTATACTTTTGAAAATGTTTTGGTGGAATATATTTTTCATAATTACAGTGTTTGTGACCATTTATACATCTGGCTTTGGTATTACGGCTGGCGTTCACAGATTGTGGTCGCACAAGGCATACAAAGCAAAATGGCCCTTACGTCTATTTCTAGTCTTCCTCTTCACAATAACAGGACAGGTGTGTTTGAATCCTTACGTAATAATAATTTTTGTACAATAATAATAAGTCACCTTTTACTATTGTGATTGTGTTATTATCGTTTTCACACCAAAAATGTAATTTGTATTAAAAATTATATTTATATTGTATATGTATACACAAAGTAGAGCAGTGTAACTATTACTTCCAAAATTTTTTCTGTAAAGTCCAAAGGGAAATTTGTGTAATCAAAATTGCACTATAATCACGAAGGAGACTCTATCATATAATAATTTTTATTTAAGTAAGTAAAGATACTTTGAAGATTTTAAGGTCATCTTTATTTCTTTGTTTGTGGTATGTTTTTTTATAATATTGATATATGAGCTTAAAACAAAAATTTAGAACTCATATATATGATATAAATTATAAGAGTATCAAACAAAATTAAAAATACGAAATGATAAAAGATACATTTTCTATATTAAATAAAACTTACTTTTATTTTATTTTATATATACGCGCGTTTTATGTAACATTTTATTTTTATTTTAATCTTTATTTTAATAATCCTATGGATGAGTTTTAAACTAGTTTTGATCTCCTGTATATTATGTTATATAAAAAAACATACCAAACTTTAATAAAATAAAATTAACTTTAATATCTCCGAAGCGCCTTCCGATACTTCAACAAAAATTATTATCGCTACATGATAGTTTCCTTCATAATCATGCACAATTTTGATTACAAAGTTTTTTTCTAGAAGATTTCTTTCAGAACACTTCCTTCAGAAATGATAACCTTTAAATAAGATAAGATTAAAAAATATTTAAACTGATAAAAAAGTTATTGCTACACTCAGTGCGTGTATACAGAATGTTTCTAAATAATTACAAAATTATATATTGAATTGGAATAAAAGTTTGTAGTGCTGCAAACTTTAAAATTCAAAAAGTTGTAACACTTCGTTAAAAATAAAATTTAAATCGAAAAAATGTTTTTTTAATTATAAATCTCTATTTTTGAAAGATCACGCTATGTATCTTCAGTTCCTGTAAGTTTGGTAATTTTTTACATTTAAAACTATTGTACAAGGATAAAATGGAAAATTTTTTTTATTTTATGCATTCTACCTTTTAAAAAAAACTTACAATAATTTTCAACTTTTTAATAACGTATAAAAATTAAAAGTTTTTCCTACAAAATTGGTTTTTGATAATATTTCTAAAATTTTTTATTACTAAATTACGGCGGATTAAATAAAAAAAGTATTTCGACTTTGATTGCCCATAACTCTGTTAAAAATCATCATTCAGGATGATCGCGCGCAAGGGATTCATTATCATTCAAAAAACTGTAAAACATATGACTAGTCTTGTTTTAGTGTTAAAAAAAAAGTCATGTTTTGTTGAACAATATAATCTATAATTAGCCTATTTTTAACATTTATCTTTCAAAAATTACTGCTAGAACGATAAGTAGCAAATATTTCCATACTTATTGTTAGTTTTTTTTTTAAACTTTATTGTAGGGGAGACAAAAATTTTTTAATACATATCGTTTTCTATGAATGCAGGGATACAAAATTAATAATGCCAAAAACTTATCAGACAACAAAATAGGTGACAAAAAAATTTACTTATTAACTTCATTTTTTTAAAATGCGTTGTAAACAATATATATATATAATGAGTTATAAGCATTTTGACATCAATCTCGTACGGTAATCACGCTCGGTTTCTCCTATAGTATTTTAATTTGCCAATTTCAAGGACACCTCTGTATGTATTTAAAAATAAATTGATGATTTTTATTAATTATATTTTATTTTTTTATGCAGAAAGATGTGTACACATGGGCATTGGATCATAGGGTACACCATAAATATAGTGAAACCGATGCAGACCCGCATGACGCAAGAAGAGGTTTCTTTTTCGCTCATGTAGGATGGCTTTTTACAACACCCCATCCTGACGTCGTCGCCAAACGCAAAGCGGTCGATGTGAGCGATCTAGAAGCGGATCCCATAGTTATGTGGCAAAGAAGGCAAAGACTTATAGTATTTGTTACAACATTCCTTTTTTCTTTACAAGAAACATTACCTAAAATGTACACGCCAATTCTAATGAAACTTTTATTAGTTATTAAAAGTACTGGTAAAATGATGAATCACGATGCTTATTATATTTCATCGACAATTATTAATATTTAGGAAAAATGGAATAATGTTTATGGAAAACTGAAAATTGTAAAAAACATTAGAAAAACACACTGTCAAATATTATTTTGCACGTGTGAATAGTTTCTGATATACTTTTGCCTACTGAATCTGCTGTTCAAATTTAGTTAGCATGTCATAATTTTGAAAAAAAGAAATGATATTAAAGAGGTCAAAAATTCAAAGATTTTTATGATTCTTTTGACGTTATAGCATTGGCAACACAGATTTTCATAATAAAAGTATCAATTTTTAGCTTTAAAATGCATTATTTTATGTCAATATATGATTCTTTGTTTTGGAGATATAGCTATTTAAAGATAGTTTTTTTTTTCAATTGAATCATATACTAAATAAAAAAGCAATAGAAAATTAAAAAGGTATAATGTAGCAGAAGAAGATTACAAAAAATCTTAAAATTAAGAAGATTATTATCTTCTTGTCGTATTATATATACTTTTGTAAATTTTATTTTATTATTTTTTCGTTTAGTATAATCCGATTATATTATATTTTGTAAGTACAAAAGCATTTATTTTTCACATAATATGGTATAAGACGCACGAACATGGAATAAAAAGTCTTTTGTTATAATATAAGCCATTTGTTACAACATATGTCAAAGTTCAAGATCATTGGGAGGAGGTCCTCTATTCTATACATTTTTATTATGAAAACAGTTATTTTTAAATCAATATTTCGAAAACAAAAAATCATAACGAAACGAAATGAAAAGTTAAAACTGATACTTCGGCATGGCATTAATAAAATTTAGAAAAAAATTTGTTGTTAATGTTACAACGTAAAAACTTTCAAAATTGTTTGTTTTTCTATTTTGAGATCTTTTTTCAAAGAATTATGATGTGATAATCAGAATTTGAACGATAGACTTGTGTTTAACAAGTAAAAATAAATTAAAAATGATTACTCACATTTTACAAAATAATATTGGACAGTGTAACTTTCTCATACTTTTTCAATTTTTAGTTCTCCATAAAAATTTTAATTTTTTTTATTAAATATTGCTAATGAAACGGATATCTTTCAAACGGGATTCATCATTTTATAAGTATTTTTAGTAATAAAAGTTTTATCAAATTTGGCGTATGTGTACATACATATTACAGTGTTTCTTGTTAACATTATAAAAATAAGTATAATTTCCATATTGTAATTTTTATATTGTTCAGAAATTTATAATGTCATTTTTTTTGTGACAATTATAATAATTTTATATCAATTTATCCATATAGGTTATATATACCTCTATTTGCACTTCTAACCATCGCACTACCAGTGGGAATTCCTTGCTACTTCTGGTCGGAGTCGCTATGGATATCATTTTGGGTGAACTTCAATTTTCGCTTCTGCATCAATTTGAACATAGCCTTCTCTGTCAATAGCGTGGCACACATGTGGGGACAGAAACCTTACGATAAGTACGTATTAAATTAAATCATGCGCGGAAAAAAAGTTACGGTTGCCACAACCAAATAATTGTAATATTTTTCGCCTGTCAATATATGTTGGTTATAGGAACTAGTATTATGGAAGTTACCTACATGGTTGCTCTATACTTAGCGAGGGTAACTGCTACTAGGTGCTTGAATTAATTTTCGCTGTTAACCGGGAGAGGAAAAAAAATTTTTCGTAACATTTTTATCTAGTCTAAATACCAGCTTTTGAAATAGAATGTGTTACTTGCTCATAGAAACATTTCGCCGGTGGAGAATATTGCAGTATCAATCGCGGCGCTTGGTGAAGGATATCACAACTATCATCATGTGTTTCCATGGGACTATAAGACCGGTGAACTAGGCGAATATCCGTTCAATCTTACTACCGCTTTCATTGATGCATTCGCACGGATCGGGTGGGCCTATGATCGGAAGCATGTTTTGCCAAGTATGATTCGTCGTAGAGCATACCGATGTGGCGATGGAAGTCACGTTTGGGGTTACGGCGATGTTGACATCTTGAAAGAAGATCTAGAAGAATTAGATGTTATGGACAATCACGAGTTATGAGACTGAAAAGTTCGAAAAAATATATTGAGAAAAAGCATTTTCTAATATATCATACGTGGACCATGTAAAGTTTTTTGCAAAGATTTGAGCTAAAGTAATATAGGGATTTGAAAGTCTCTATCTATAACTTTAGATTACTATACACAGTATATACCATTTGGAAATATTTAATGTAAAATGTAATGATTATCGGATTAAAAAGAGATACTTTAATTGCAAAATAGTCAGTAAAGTACAGTTGATTTTAGTCAGCAATTAATAAAGGAATTTTATTAATTGTTGACTAAAATCAACAATTAATATCAATATTTTATTTATGACATGAATTTGTCATAAAATTTATTGTAGAAATAATTAATTAATATACATACATTGATCGTTTATTTATTCTTATATTTATAGGATTTGTCACAATGTTTGTTTCGCAATAAGATAATAATAAATTTTATCGCAACAGTGTAGAAAAGAAACGATTGATAAATTAGAACTTTGCATAATCGAGAATCTATTGTTCGGTATAAGGGAAGTCACTATTTAAAATAATATGTACGATTATTTTTCGTATAATTTGTACGTAATCGTTATTTATACTATAGTCGTATAACTGCATTATACAAGTTTCTGTTTTACTTAACGTGAATGACGTAAGATACAATAATATAAACGAGAATCTTATTAAATTAGTATGTTCTAAATAAAGAAAAATCTGATAAAATTGTGTATATTCTAGAAATATTTTTCCTTAAACATTTTACTAGGAAACTATAGACAATGTAGACATTCAAAATTTATTGTTTTTGATAATTTATACGATTAAAGGAATCAAAAATAAAAATAAAATTATATGTTTTATCAACAAATCGTTTTTGTATTTTATAAGTTTTGTTCAAAAATAAAATTTTAATTAATATTTTGTAAAACACACATCAAGACACAGTAATATTGATATAATTAATATCAAATATAATTCATCTTTAAAATAAAATTGCTTTATGTTTTAATATTGTAATATACAGAATGTAATATTGTAATATACAGATTCACGAGGAAGGGTCAATATCTTAGGCGGCGATAATATCGATCATTTTAAGCAAAAATGTTCATTTGAACATGTGTCCTATTTCGAACAGTTTCCGAGATAGGACGAATTCGGTGTTTTATTCTCATTATAAAACAAGGAACAACTCTAATGTTTTAAAATATTTCAATTTTAAAAAGCCGATTCTTTATTCTGCATTGAAAATAACACAAGGTTTTCAATATAATATTAAATATTTAATAAACATGTTTATTTCTAAATAGAAGCTACATTTTTAAATATAAATTCTTAATTATTTTTTAAATCTTTATCTCACAAACGAAATTATAAATTATACGCATAATTTTATTATTTTAATAGGTTACGTAAAATAGTAAATATATAATTTATATTTTACGGATATGTTTGCCAAACGTAATGAAGATTTCGCGACGTACAAAAATTAAAAAATGGAAAACGAGAAATTTTTTATAAGAAATTTAAGAAATTCATCAAGTGTGTGCGCAATTGACAGACTCATCGAAGTTTAATATGCAGGAAATGACGAGGTAAAAGCAACTTATTTGTGTTGGTAATGAAATTCTGAATAGGGTCATAAGGCTAGTCAGAATATCTTTAACATTATTTTTGCCATGTAGTTCTTTTCTGATCTTTCAGAAGCACGTTTCAGTACGACGTTGTTTAAAAAAGTAAGTAAAACAGATACATGCGTATCTCTTTCAGAAAAAGAAATGTATATCGATGCTTCGTGCATTTTTATTTCAGTTATATTTATCTATTAACTTTTCTTCCTTTTTTCTGGTTTTTTAAACCTTCAAAAAAAACATTTCCTCGTTTCTCCAAATAATTTCTAAATTGTTGCATTCTAAATATATTATTAATTAAATTATGTAAATTAATATAATTATAAATAACTATAACTCTATAACTATAACTATTATATAACTATAAATTAATATATAACTTGCCGTTATGTTGGAAATGAAATTATTTAAGTTATTTTGTATTTTTATGAAGTTCTCTAACTTTTTTTTATTATTGTTTGTAATTAATTAATCATATTCTATTTCTTCTATTGTAATATTTTTTAATAAGACATTAGGTATAAATTATCATTATATATTTTTCGTATTATCCAACAACAACAGATTCTTTCCAGTGAGAAATGATAATGGAATCGACGTCAATTCTATATTAATTCGATTCCATTGTCATTTCTCACTGTGTTTGCAAAGATGTTGATATTAATTTTAGAATTTTTTATCTCAACAGTCGACATGAAGGAAATCAAGGAAGAGAATAATAGTAACAATATCAGTAGCAGCAATAATGAAATGAAAAAACGCTCTATGAAGTGGACTGCCGTTCTATTTTATATCTATCTTCACGTTTTTGGAGTTGTTGGATTATATTTTCTATTTATCAAAGTGAAATGGATGACGGTATTCTACTGTAAGTATTGTAAATCATTACAAACAACAAATGACAGACATAAAATTAGTAAATTCTTTGTGTGATTAGATCATTTTGTAATAGAGCTAAAAATAAGAATTTTTTTTGCAAAGACGTATTCTTATTAAGTTGCTATTGCCACCAAGTATCCCTCCCTCTCTGTGAATTATCAGTTTTAAATATGCATTTTCTACAAATAAAAACCATTTATCAATGTATTTTTAACCGATATTCATAATCTCTCTTAATGTTACAAACTAAAGTTGTATAGCATTTTAAAACATTACTTAATACGATCTTGAAATAAGGACCAATTGTGAATATTGGTCTTTTTAATAATATGTTTATTATTTTCTTTTCGATGGCTGTTTAACTATTTAACTGTCTCCTATTTTGTTGATTTTAGTTATATTTCTCGTCACAAGTAGTTCCATTGGACTAACCGCGGGTGCTCATAGATTGTATGCACATCAAACATTTGTTGCCACATCGCAACTCAGATTGTTCATAATGCTTGCACATACTATCGCAGGCGTGGTAAGTAAACAATTTATGTATTAAGTAGTTAATATTCATAGTATTATTAGTTATTATTCATATATTGCAATAATTCAATAAATGTCAGTAAATATTGATTAATCGAAATACAATTATGTTAATAATGATAAAATTAAATTTATAGAGCAAAATAAATTCCCGTTTTTTATAATAGCAGTTTGTTACTTTTAATATCTTTTTTTACATACATTTTCATGAGTATTAAGCCCGTCTATATATCATCTGTATTCATAGTACATTAAACATTTTTATTGTGCCGCTACATCGTTCTTTTGAAAAATTTACAAACTTCAATAGTTTTATTTAATATGAGAGATATAGTATAAATATATTTTTAATAAAACTAAATTGGGTAGTTATTACTATCACTTGTACATTGCATGACATTGCTTTACTGTAAAGATTTAAGTCATGTTTGTCAGCATACTTGGGATACTTATAATACGTGATAGCGAATATGTTAATTAACTAGGATAATTGCAAAGTCACTGCCAATGTAGAAACATATATGCAGTCACAAAATTACAAAAATAATTATATTTGACTTTACACTTAGGGTTCGATATACAACTGGGTATTTTGGCACAGAATGCATCATAAATATTACGGTACTGAAAAAGATCCGTATAATCATAAGAGAGGTTTCTTTTATTCTCACGTGGTCAGTAATCTCTTGTCAGCACCTTCTGATTTGAAAAAATACGCGAGAGACATTGATATGCGCGATGTGGACATGGATGGATATATTTGGACACAACAAAAGTATATTTTTTTAATTATTATATTATAGTTTAAACATAAAATATCTTACTTTTTTTCCTCTCATTTTATTTCTTTTATATATGAAAAATGACGTAGAAATGGGTTTTTCCAATTTTGTATTATTACCTATTTTATCAATATACTTATTTTTTAATTTACTTATAGTTTTTCCTTTTTTTGTTACTCGACTCTCAAATTATATAATATTTTGTTATTAACTGTATTTTATTAATTATTATTAATAATTAAAATAATATATATTACGTAGGTTCTACTGGATACTTTTCATCGTGCTTGGATTTCTGTTGCCTATCCACGTGGCTGTAGTATATTTGGATGAATCATATACAAATTCGTTTTTGATTATTGGCGCAGCACGATTACTATTAACAACAAATATTTCTTGGCTTGTGAACAGCGCCTTGCTGGTCTGGGGCCTGAAGGAAGGGGACAAGTTAATATCTGTTTTTTATACTCTCTCGCTTTTCTACAAGTTATTCTTCGAGTTGCCGAAGAATCATGGTACCGTTCTTATAAAAAAAAAAGGATGGACATTACAAATAGCATTTAGCAGAATTTGAAAATTTGAGAATATTTTTGTCATAAACTTCAAAAGACTATATAAATAAAGAAATAATAGATATGCTTTCTCTCCCCAAGTTTAAATTGTTTTTGATTCTCTAAATGAAATAAAAATATTACATAATAAAACAATATTCAATACTAAAGACTGTTAATGTAAGAACATAACTAATATAAATATGAAGCCTATAACAGTCTACCTTGGATCTTTTAATCGCTTACATATAAATTACCGCGATACTATCACGAATTAAAATTAATTAATAATTAACTAATGTATGTAGTCCTCTCAAATTGTGCGCCGAACAATCGTCGGTTTTGAAACGCAACTCTAATAATCTGAAAATACTAAATCTGGAAAAAATACATAATAAAAGTTTGAAAAATATATAATAAAAAATTTAATTTTTTTTTATATATTTTCGATTACATACTTTTTAACTCAAAATATTAATAAAATTCTGTTATTATTATTAAGCTTAGAATTTTATATTAAGTATTAAAAAATTCTTGTATTAGTGAGATTTTGATACATGTATAACTATTTTTCTTCTTTTATCGGTATCGTATGAACTTTTTCATGCATATAATAACGTAATCTTTGCACTATGTCTAATGAGTTTGTTTTCAATAATTTAATATGTGGCACTGATGTTTTAGATTTCCGGTTGACGACAATTCTGTTTTTTTCCTGTCGAAGTCTTACTGGTTAAATTACCATTACATGTTGCCATGGGACTGGAAGAATGATGAATTTGGGGCTTACGAAACAGGATTCATCACATTCACTATCAAAATATGGCGCGAGCTTGGTCTTATTAATCAATTGAGGACTGCTACCTGCAATGATGTGCGAGAAGCTCTTTACAAAGTAGCCTCATCGGAGATGACAATGGATGAAGCTTTGGCGGAGGTAAAACGGAATGCAGAAGAAACCGCTTATAAAGAGAAATTGATATATCGTCATTAGAAAAATTAATTTACAAAGAAATCAAATGCAATTTAATGTATTATATATACAGGTTATCCCAAAATACGCAAATCGCAATATTACAATAAGAAAGTTTTCAAAAAGTTAAGTAAAAAAATTATTTTTGAATTTTTTATTTGAAATAATAGTTTATGAAATAACCAGTGTTTAAATGATCAATTACGGACTGCGTTTAAACGCTGAAGTATATGCTTAGAAATACTATCATACGAGCGATTTACGGGTAAATGATTTTTTAAACGTAATCTACAATTAGCTGTTTTTAAACTTTTATATTTAAAAAACTGTTTGAAATAAAAATTTATAAATAATTTTTTCACTTAATTTTTTAAAAATTTCCTTACTGTGATATACTGTATTCTGATTCGCTAATTTCGGAACATCTCTTATATTATGATATACAATATAAATTAATATGTAATTGAGGGGACGGAACACTATTAAATTTAAAATGTCAAATTTAACTTAATGTGCGTGAGTCGCCAATGCTACTCAATTATATGGTTATTTTATAATAAAACAGTGATTATATTTGACACGATACAGTCTCATCATCTGTGTATTATTTTAATACAAAATATACACGATACAGTGTTATCATTAATGTGTCATTTTAATATAAAATAATGATATATTTAGTAGGAGCAGTGGCAACGCATAACGCGCTCAGTGGAAACGTACCCTAAGTCCATCACTTGGTGGAATAAAGGTGTATTAAATAAATTTGGATATATGTCTGTGAAATCGTAAAAAATATAGAATCAGAGACATAAAGAATAAAGGTTATTAAGCAAGCTTACCTCTGTTGGTCGACAAAAAATTAACATTTTTGTATGTCTCAGAAAATCCACTCAATGTCTTTGAGTTAAAATTAACATTTTATTTTTACAGTGTAGGTTGGGTTAGGTTAAATTTGACATTATAGATTTAACAGTGAATATAGGCTTAATTATAAAATCTTGATTTTAATAAGAATTAAAATAAAACTTGCTATTTTTTTATTATATATAATATATAAATAGGAACAGTATTAAATGTACATTTATGTACAATAACGATTTTGAGAAATTATATATTACAATATTTCTCTATTATATGTTCAATATTTACAAAGTTATATGTAATTTAAAAAAATGCACTTAGTCCCTTTTTCCAAATATTGATCATACACTCTAAAAAATAGCGGTGTGAAATTTTACCACATTCATGTGATTAAATAATTTGGTGTGAATTTTAACATCAAAATATAATGAATCTTTCACACGCAGTGTCAAACTTTGATGCGGTGTTGCTTGTTTTCACACTGTGCAGAGTGTGATTGTACCATACGTGACTTCAAAGAACCAATCGCTATAGGATTTGAGATTACGTTAGTTCGTATCTTTTGTTCGCGCCAAACTGCTAGTTAGACATCTTTAACGAGAGAATATGGAAATCACTTAGGAAAGGGTTTTTGCTCTCCCTGATATTTTCGAATTAAAAATAAATTAATAAGTATTCTTGTTGTGTGTGTTTATAGTGCAGTATCGAAGTGTTAATACTTATTAAAGTTAAATATTTTAACGTAGAAAAATTCGTCAATTTAGATGCGAGTGATACAGTCGAAGAATCCATTGTTAGAGGTAATACATGTGTTTAAAATTGGGACATTTACAGCGTGGTAATTAGACAAACATAGTAAACGAATTTTCTAATTACGGAACATATTATATTTCTTTTATCTTTTATCTACATAGGAGTGGAGTAAATATAACGATGTAAACTTACTGTTGCATTATACCGCCGGTGGTGTTAAGATTTACACCGTTTTCTGTGTGAAAATTTACACCACAACAATGTGAATTATGTACATCGAACAAACGGTGTTAATTTCATACCAATATGATGAGAATTATATGGACACTCATATGGGTCTCAAATTCCACATCACTAGTGTCAAAATGACACCGCTATTTTTTAGACTGTAGTATCAAGGGATCAACAGAAAAAAAAGACTATGAATTATAAGAAATGTTTTTATCTTCACATTTTTCTAAAAGAATTAAAAGTGGAATATACTTTACTTTTACACTTATATAAAATAAATTGGAATAATGCATTTAATCATCTGATGAGCTTTTGTTATAAGATTTTTTAACATAAGTATGTTGTACAGCAAACACATTATTGTCGTATTATTTTCAATCTTATTTTTACAAGAGAAATGTATAAATCTCATTAAAATGATATAATCTATAGAAAAAGATATAATCTTTTTTTAGAGATTATGTCATTTTCACCACTACAGAACAACACATTCATATTTAATTAATATAAATAACATTAATTCTTTGTTTATTTGCGCTAATCTTAAAAAAAAGGGCTTAAATGGAAAAGTGTCACTTTATTCCGTATTCCCTCAATTAAACTTTGATATACATAATTAGTTCCTTGTATGTACAATACATAATGTCTGTTATAAATCAAACATATGATGCTCAATAAATTTATTGTCTAATAAATAAGAATATAATTGCTAAGAAATGGAGCAATAAACAAATATTGTATTACAATTTATTTTTTACAGATTTGATTAAGTTATTGATAAGTTACAGTGAAAGATGTTCAATTAAATATGCTGATTCATTAAACCTTTAAAGAGAAGAGAAAGTTTCTGTTCAATGTCATAGAATCAGATAGACGAGCAAAAATTATAATTTTAATTTTAATTGCGCACATTAAAACAAGAACTTAATAGATGCTGTCATATTACATATTGTTATATATATATTCCATTTTTTGCAATTTTTTTATTAAATACACCTAAAGATTTATCACATATAATATATACATTTTTTAGCTCTATTCCTCTACTAAAAATAAGATTTTACTTAATCTTTTTTTGCATTTATAAAAAAAAATCTTCACATAATATTCTATTAGTGTCAAGAAAAAAAGTAACGATAATAAGTTACTTTTGCAAATCAATAACGAGATATTTTTTAGGAAAAAGAATGGTAACGTTAACGAGTTATTTTTATGAGGTAACGTTGTCAACCCTTTTTTTACTCAGTAAAGCCTGATCTACAATTGCGTAAACATAGCTGGGAGTGATCGTAGTTGTAAAAATCCTCGAATCACAGTTGGATATTATTCTTATATTCAACTGTAATTGGTCAATTCTTATAACTACAACTATGTTTACGTAATTGTAAATCGGGCTTAACGAGTAACAGGCTATAACTTGTTACTTTTAAAAAGTAATTTTCCTGCAATATATTTGATAGTTTGCATTAAGACAAGGAGTAATAACAACGTGTAGCACACTGAATAAAAAGACACAAAGTATTTAATGTCTTTACATAAAAATATATTTTTTATTAAACATTTTATTTTAATTATTAATATGACAGCTCATTGTATAATACAGTACAATATAGACAAGTGATTTCTTATATTTAACATAAAAAATAATTTTACTAATTTTAATAATTTTGTTTTCTTGGTAAATCGTGACATTCATTTTACATGCTTGTCATACTGGATGAACAAGCGATTACAATTTGATTTTATTTCTTTATCAAGATTATGATATAAAATAAAAATTGTAAGCAAAAGATTGGGTGTAGAAATTTACAGTAATGTTAAGTTAAAGATAAATGCGCTAACAAGTAGCAGAATGATTTGTTACATATCAAGAGTATTAATTTAAATTCTATAAAAATTTAAATTATAATTAAATAGAATTTAATTAACTTGACGCACTTACAAAATCGCGAAACGCCCTGCGTTTTTGGGTACGATCTCGTGAAAAAAGAAAAATAAATAAAATTTATTTTACACGAGAAGATATTTTCGATGTCTTTGAAAGAAGATGCATAACATAACAAATAAGTATGAAAAGTGCTTATACGTGTTTATGTCATAAAACAGATAATCGCTTACTTAACTAGAGCGAGGAGCAATGAGAGTTTCATAAAAAATCATGACTTCTCTCATCTCGCTGCAATTTTACATCACAAACTGTCATATAACAGTTATTTTCGAATCTTACACACATATTAACCGATACCAAGAAATGATAAATTAATATTAATATAAACATACATCGCACGTCCATTACGTCGCAGCTACATCACATTGGATACTTACGTTCGCTTTGGTTTACGCAATCTTTATTACTATACTATTAGCATAAAGTTTTTATTTACATACTTCTTTCTTGCCATTAGAAACATAAATGATTATTATATAAATAAATTATACCAAATCCATTGTGTTACCTATACTAATTCATATAATACAATAAGCATGAAATATATTATACTAATAGGAACTAACTAAAATAAGAATTACGAAAAAGTGATGTATTTAATTATAAAAATAATAATTTCTTATTGTATCGTAATTGAAAACTTAAAGAATTTTTCTATGCTTATAATATTAATATCATAAGAAAAACAAAAAATAAAGAAATTTTAACTGTTACACTTGTTAAAGAATAATGTCTCGCTGATGTTCTGGACGATTTTTTAAAGTTAATTTTGATTTAGCGACAAGACGGTATTGTTTTAAGATTAATATCAGATTTGAGAACTGAATTATTTATTTTAATCAAAAAGGTGTACAAAATATGTGTGGTCATATAATAAGTATATACTAAAATTGAGCAATCATGTAACATTTATACATTCTTAAAAACGATTTGTGTTTGTGTCAAGTTAGATTTGTAATTTTTGTTTATTTTGGTAATTTTGTATCATATATTTAAATTTCTACTTTTTTTTTCTTTTTTCTTTACTACAATATTGTAGATTTATATGTTTTTTTAAAAGACAAAAGTATAAAATTATTACGTTCAATTAATGCTCCAATTATACAAACATGTATATATATCTATCTTCGTTACGATTATGAATTAAAAATTGTATGAATAATACAAACTGTTCAATAACTACATAGTATAATTCGGAAGATAATTCTGTATATCAATTTCTATAGCTGAGAGAGAAAAGGAGGTAAAAAAGTTTATCGAGCGAGTACATCGCGTGCGCAATCCAGAACACCATCGACATTATAAAAATCCTGTCGAGCCTTCCAAATCTGTATTATATGGAACCCGCCAAATAATTATGCAACGACATGTCGGAACCGACGAGATGCGCGACGGTCGAGACGTAAGTCCTGGGGAAGGCCGACACAAATATACATATATTTTTTATGAAATTTGTCCAAACGAATCAATTCGTGACCGTAGTGAACGAATGCGAAGAAAGTCTTACTTAATCGACAGTCTTGCACATACACTCGTAGGATCCTACTGATCCTTTGTGTGATGGTGCGTTACTATCGCTTCGTCTCTTTCTTCCTGCGTTTGATCTTTATCACCCCAACCCCATAACTCGTGGCTGCCATCGCCTGTCCTCTCTACTCGTTTCCTCACCATATCCTCAGATACGCTCTTTAAATCGTATGCCCAGCCGATCTTCGCGAAGAAATCGATGAAGGCCGTCGTAAAATTGACCCTGTAATTGCCAAACTCGGCCGTCTTGTAATCCCAAGGAAAGACGTGATGGTAATTGTGCCAACCTTCACCGAGGGCGAATATGGCAACACTTTTGTTCTCTGATGGATTGATATACCTATAATAAATAAGAAAACAATTATATGTTGATCACATCGCTAGAAAATCAATTTTTCGAAACACAAAAGTCTAGCAAAGATCTGAGAAAATTAAAAAGTGAAAAATTCGATAATTTTCTCTATCGAAACAGATTAAGAAAATACCAAATTTGATTTAAAAGATATACTCGCGTTCTTACTTAATTGATACTTACTTGTCGTAGGGTTTGTTGCCGAAGAGATGAGCCGCAGAGTTCACTAACCATGTCATGTTCAATGTAAAGATATAACGGAGGATGGTAGGAATAAAGTAAGCATTTGTCCAGGTTTCGTTCCAACACACGACCGGAATAACAGTTGGCAGAATGAAGCACATCAATGGCATCAGTATGGTATAATATCTGAAACGAGCAATAAATCATTGTAGATACTTCGTCAATAGTACTATTTTGATTAATATCAACATACGTACTTTTTTTGGAATGCCAATATGGGATCGCTCTCAAGATCACTTAAATCGATACCCTTGCCCTTTTTCTTAACTTCCGGATGTTTCCTACAGAGCAGCCAACCAACGTGCGAAAAGAAGAAACCTCTTCTTGCGTTATGCGGATCAGCGTCGGTTTCGCTGTATTTGTGATGAACCCTGTGATCTCTGGCCCAGTCGATCGCTGCATCCTAAATACAACAAAATTACTTAATGAATGTTGATAAATAACAAGAATATCTTAATCCTTTAAGAACTAATAAAATATAACTGTATAATTATACAGTTATTTCATCATCATATTTTCTAAATTTTCCCTTTCGGGATTATTGATTCGATCCTTCAGAATTCTAAAATACAAATTTCAAAGAAATAATCTGATTATCGTGAAACTTAATTTTAGAAGATTCTGGATATGAAGCTGAGTTTGAACGTAACCTAAAAACATTGAAATTCGAAAAAATAGAGTAACCTCTATGAAGGAAGATTTAACGTCACAATACATTCGTAATTAGAGTTTGAAAGTCAGTTTGGAAATTGATACTAACTGTTTGTGTAGCACTGATGAATGAAATAAAGCAAAACTGGAAACTTTATGTTACTTTACAATTAAAAATTATCTAAAATTGAGTTTTATCATGAATATAATAATAAAATTATTTTTTAAAATTTTGTCTGCCATATTAAATCCATCATATGAATTTTTTATTTTTGATCTCAACGAATAAAATATTATCAAGTTATCCTATAAGCCAAGTTTTATCAAATAAAGCAATCTCTGCAAATAGGATAGCCGGCCTACAAAAAATTAATTTATTTGTGTGAAACACTTTTAAATACAAAGTATGCCGGAAATGCAATTTCCGGCATACTTTGTATTTATCATTGTTCTTTTTTATTTTCATATTCATCTAAATATTTATATTGCAATAAAAAAAAATGCCGGGGATATGCACGTCAGTACTTCCGCCACAAACAACACATATCATGTATATATTCTTCAGATCATGAGAGAGAAAGAGAGAGAGAAATGTCTTTTTTTCTAACAATAGATCATTTGTTTAACCAATATCTAATGACGCATTGAATTATATTATTTCTCCATTTCTTACATGCGATGCTCGTTTTTATTGATACTCATTGCATCAACATGAATACCTCAATAGCTGCAAATAAAGTTTCTATCGTATTTTCATTCGATTGCTATGCATCCTTTTTTAATACAATATACAATTTAATTTAATGTTTGTTAAAGTTTTAGGATTAGAATCCGTCACGAAAAAAGTTAATTACAAATTATCGATTTTACTTCTTTTGAATCTGAATTTTTATCCATCATTTTGTGTACAATTTCTAAGAAATTCACTTACCTGGAACGCTATAGTATTCATAATCATGAGTATCAGCTGGAGAGGCCACTTGGCTTTGTAGGATCGGTGTGCCCAGAGTCGGTGAGCTCCGGCTGTGATTCCCAAACCACTGAGTTGATACAGAAAAATTGCTGCAATCGAGAAAATTATTAAGTTACATGCAAAAGTCGCCGCTTGCTCCAAATCATCAATCTTCATTGAATAACTATCTTGTAACAAATTATATTACGAGAAATATGATTGACAACGTGGAACAGAAAATTTATTCATAATACGTATGTCGTAACATATTTATATACATAGTTACAATCATCTTGAAAAATTTATTATAGTAACAAGGGCAACAATAGTATTGTAGTAATAATTCCAATAATAAACCACTTAGCTTAAATCAGTGATGCGCTACTTTTGTAAAATTAGGAGCCATTTTCAGATATACAAAGGTCTTGCGAGATTTTATTTAACTTATGTAACTTGCTGTATTACTTATATAATGTACTATATATATTATATGTATATATACTATAATAAACAGATAAAGAAATTTATCATGATATCAGTAAGAAAATTATAAATGTATATAATATAATATATAATATAATTTCTTTCTTAATATTAAGATAAAACTTTTTTATTTGTTCATTTATATCAGTTTTTCCATTTATACCATTCATTTTAATGATCATTTTTACATGATTGTATACTTTATGTAGAAATAACTCTACTAGAATTATTAAACTTTGATTTGATCAATAAGGAAATAAAAAATCAAAATAAATTTATAAAAATTTATAAGAATATAATATATATGAAATATAAGTCATGTTTTCAAATATAAATTCTTAAAGATTTTTTAAAAATATATCTCAAATGAAACTGTTAAACTGTTACGCATAATGTTATTAATTTGATAGTTTATATAAAATAGAAAATACAATTTTCAGCTATGAGCTGGTCATAGGAAATTAATCAACGAGCTGTGGATTGCGCATTACTTAAATAAAAAAAACTATCGCATCAACATATATGCTATAATCTTGTTCAAAAGAGTCGCAAGTATGTCGGACATATTTTAATCGACTTAATTAACATTCTGCTAATTGCTTGCGTTAAAAAGCCACATGTAAGTGCAAAGTTGAACAAAGTCTATTACGACGAGTATATCAATACAAATATATCGGCTAAACTCAGTCAAGCGATATCAATAAAATATATATTATTTTTATATAATTTAGAGAGAGAGAGAGAGAGAGAGAGCTTATATAATTGAAAATATAATTTAAATATATAATTTAAATTCCTTATTAAATAAAAATATTATTTTAAATAATTATTCCAAATTATTTAAGGTAATTACATAATTAAATAATTATAAAATAATTATATTAATTCAAATTATTTCAAATAATTATTATGCAAACAATACGTTACGCTACTTAATAAATTGGACCACTCACCAAAAATGACGGTTGCTAATTTAGCGGATGTGAATGTGAGGTAAATTCCGTAAAGGGCGCCGAGATGTAGAAACGAGAAAATCATCACGTTTCTCCAAACGATGCGCCTAACATATTTAGGTTTTTCCTTGAGCTCTTCAATTAGTTGCGTCTCGCCAAGAGTTTCACCTTCAAATAGCACTCCCGTCGGTGTGCTTGTTATATTCGGCGCCATCCTTGCGTCTATTAATGAGATAAAATTTTTCTATTATTTCTTGCAAAAAGATTTAGTATATCAAACTTTATTTAGTATATCGAAACTTGCACTATTATTCGGCTAAATAGAAGTCAGCGCAGTAAGAAGTGCGCAAATTTGTAGAAAAAAAAATTAATTAAACATAAGATTACATCGACATTTGATATTTCCGGACGTTCTGGATCTCATGTTTTATTAAATATTTTTTTCGACAATTTGCGCACTTCTTACCGCGCTGACTCCTATTTAACCGAATAAATTTTCTTCGTTTTATTGAAATATAAGGAGTCCATCATTAAATATGTATTGCACTATCATATCGCTGACTATTGATTTATAATTTATTTTTTGTTTTATTAGCATTATTCATTATTCTTAATCAGTTGTATTTATAATCAAATTTGCTTTTTTATTATAATTATTTATATTGCTATATTAAAATATAAGAATAGAAATATATTGTATATTAAATAAGAAAAAAGACCCTTATATTTTCGCGCGAGCGCAGTCGAAGCAAATTTTGGTATTTAATAATATAATACAATTTTTTGTAAATAAATTTTTTTGTATGTTATATAAATCAAAACACCTATGTGTTATTAATATAATTTTAATATTTCGAAGCTTTAGAAGATTACAAAACGTATTTAAAAAAAAGTATACATCATATATATGTTAAAATTAAATAAAATAAAAAAATTTAAATTAGCTAATTTTTTTTAAGTTAAATTTAAATTATTTCCAAATGAAAACCAATACCAAAATTATAACTGCTTTGACAAGACCGCTGTGACGATAATGCTTTTGCACACATGGCTTATTTGATGAAGCTAAATATCATATAATAACGTCATAATTATCGATGCTCTACTAGAATCAAAAGCCTCGTGGAATGAATAGCAATGACGTATGACGCAAAAGCGATCAATAAAAGTAAAATCAGTAGCAGCAAATGCGAGTTTATACGGGACAAATACAAAATGTATCCTTTCTCTCCTTTTAACTTCATCTTTCTCTTTTTAGTTACAATTTACAATTATCGCGACTCGCAATTATACGTTAAATATACATAAAATGGTTATACAGCGGACTCTTTCTAGGTAATGCTTGACCTGGAAACGTAAAGCAACTGCGATTATGTCATTTGTACACGACTACACGCACAAGCGTACCGGCTCGTCTGCTAATTAGCAACCGGTGCCCGGCGACAGTGATATTGGGGAAATGACACCTGTAAGACTTTCACCACATCGTCGCACGAAGAAGTTACCAGCTAACATCTCGATTATTACAGTTAAAAACTCGCGTCACGAGAAAGAAGCGTGTACATGATTAAACTCGATTCATCGATGATGCTGTGAAACCGCGAAGACCGAATACTCACATGACGCATTTACTATTCTAAAGTAATTACGGAGTATGGCTTCTTGCTGTCATACTATGATAAATAAACTTCTATTTACACTACGTGTACAAATTTGAAATTTTTTTTCATTTTAACGATTATTTTAATTATTTATTCCTTTTGGAATCAATCTTTTCTCGATTCAACCGTAAAAGCACTCAACAGTTTCTAAATTAGAGACTGGTTTATCGAGACGTCCATACATACGAAACTCGTATACGCTCGTCGTTGCAATCCCGCAAGTTGTCCTCAATTCCGTCAAACGCACGTGGATGTACGGGTCCAAAGGATCCGCCTACGTTCCGCGAGCGCGAATATTGGAGTAAAACACAAGAGATGGTCTCGACAGTGCCCTGTCCCTGTCAAAGGTTCTCTATCGACTGCCAGCAGTGCCAGCTGGATCCTCGACGCACGTCCTCCAGGCGCAGGCTTGCGCGGCGCCCGGTGCCCGCGTCGGGACGCCGACACTCGGTATTTTCGTCGACAGACTTGCGCGAGTTCGTTCTGATGAGTGATCAGCTGATCCTCTTAATAATCTTAAATAATCCGGTCATAAAATTTATATCGAAAACTCGAATCGAAATAACTTGCACGAGATAAAAACAATGTACAATAACGTACAAAAATTCGTATGAATAAGCAAAGTCATTTTTTCAATGCAAATTCATACATTTAATGAATTTTTTTAAAAGAAGATAAAAAATACGAAATATAAGAACTTGAACTTTGTGTGAATTTTTGCCAATTATACTGCTAAACTTGATATTGTCAATAAACTTATACAATTATAGATGAATTTATTAATAATCAGTTGTTAAAGCAGCCGTATTATAATATAAATATAACTGCACAAGTGCATGTCACATAATAAGATCAACCAATACGATCATAATAACATAGTTCTTTTTTAGTAAAAATTATAAATACACTTATTCATTCATTCTCTTAAAGAAAATGCCATTATATTTATGTATTACAATATCAAATAAGTCTGTACTTTATTCATTACCAAAGAAACGATGAATGAGATATACATCGTACTTTAAGTGTACGTAACAAACGGTATAATTCATTCATCACATTGAACAATGTGAATTATAACCTATTGATCAAAAACCTTACGATAGTGATTGCAATGTTATCATCATAGATGTGGACTTAGATGTGACTGTAACAAAATTGAGGACATGACCTCAAGAATGACCTCGGCTCGTTCGAGCGAGCTCAATCATTGTCAAGGCTGCAAAACATTTGAGGTCAGCCGTGTTTCTCACGTAGCACGCCAATCAATCTAACACAATGATATATTATCTCTTAAGTAATAAATTTTATCATTTATCATTATTTCATGATTTATACTACATATATTTTTATTGATATCGAATTTGACAATTAATAAAAATGCTTGTAATTGATTAGATTAATGTTCTTCAGAAATTATTAATGATACATCTGCTGAGTTGTTAGAATAATTATAGTGCAATGAATTCCATTCAGCATTTATGTGAACTTATTTGACTTAGCATACTTTTACCAAAAATAGTTATTATGAAAATGTCAAATAGTTTTATCATTTATCATTATTATACGATTTATAATAATGATGAATAATTATACATATCTTTATCGATCGAATGTGCTGGCAATTAACAAAAATATATGTAACTGATTAAATGAATTTTTTTAGAAATTATTTGACACATCTTCGGAGTTATTAGAATAAATGTAGCGCATTGAATTCCTTTCAGTACCCATTTTAGGTTGACTTATTGTTAGTTGACTTAGCATACTTTTAAAAAGATAATTTATGAAATGACATGTGAAATGATAATGATCGCAACTATATAATTAGAATTAGCTGTAGAATTATTTTTCCATATTGAATACATGCATATGACATATACACACACACACAATATAAATTTGATTACTTAAATCATTGAATTCAATGCGGATTTAAAGTCTGTATAAATTACAATATTTTTTAGTTCCTGTGCTTATTAAATAAAAATCGTTTTCTTGGTAACTGATACATGTAAAAAAAAAACAGCGATTTATTACAAATTAATAATTTCAATGACAAGCTTATGTTTGATAATTTTTATATTTCTAGCGAGAGGCGTGATGCGACTATTAATTTAATGTAATAGTTCAAGTTTCTTACCGCTTAAGAGGACGATTGCGATTGTGACTTCTCATTGGTATGAAAATAAAATAAATTGTGGTATTGTCATAGGGATTTATTAAGTATCGCACTTTAATTTTTCCATTTACGAAAAAGAAAACTTAATATGCACATTTTGTTAATAGATATACGGATAAGTTTGTTTAGGAACTTATTAGAATTCGACACAATACGTTTCTCAATCAATAAAAAGCTAATTAAAAGCAATATCAAATAAATTTCAAAATCAATTCTAATAAGTATTTTTTAAGTAGTATGTAAAATAATTTTTTCATCAGATTATTATCAACAACTTGCTTAAAAAAAAATCTTGTGTATTAATGTTGTCTCAATATATGCTATTATATAATTAGGGAAGACATAATTTACAAAAAATATATATTAAGAAAATTGAAACAAAAACAAAATACAAAAACATAAAACAATGTATATTATAAAATAAAAATGCGCATAATTTTAATTTGCCTCAAAAAACTACGCTATGAATCATTTCTGAATTCGTACTAATCACCATTTGACAAAAAATGAAAAATGCTTTAACAATATTAATAACCGACCTCAATATGTTTTTCAGTATTCATTTCTACTCAATTTTCAATGTTAACATTGACAAACATAATTATGTGTTTGTAAATTCATATATCTCCTTCACGCAGCCGATTACATATCAATAAAAATTAAATGTATTTATTATTAATTCATATTAAGAACACAGTTTTGCGTAATGCATAACGCATAATACATATGTATGAAAATGTACGAAATCTTCCATATTACTTTTCTTTCCATAAAATAAAAAGTTTGATTGATTAACTTCCTTATGCTTCATGCATTGCATGTTATACAAAAGTTTATGTTTTGATTTTAACATTTATCATCAACAGTACCACGAATTTTTGTTTTTATTCCACATTTGATGAGTCATAGGTCTGCTTTTTATTCTTGCACTCACTTTGCATCATGTATTAGTTTAGGGAGTGCACGAATAAATAAAAAAACAGACTTCATATATCACGTTAAACAGCAGGGCAGTCTATTTTCACGAAACAGCTGATCAGATAATAGATTTCGGCAAGTTGACTTCACGTTTTATCTTTTCGTCGCTTAGTTAAATGATCTGTACGCATGCGTATGCCACGTACGTTATTATCTCTCCGTATACATATATACCGTATACACATACACGCGTCATATATATATTATATAAAGGTCCAGTTATATATTATAGATACATGTATATATATTTCTAATTACGATAAATTTAGAATCAGTTTTTTTCTGAACAAGGGGGGGGGTTATTCTTAATTTTTTAATATTTAAAATTATTTAAATTACGATGTTACATTTTTAAATAAAATCTTATTTTTTAACTTGAAACACTTCTAATTA